AACATAAAAGAGTGGTACCTTAGCTAGGATCCATGGCATAAAAAGTAAGGAACTTCAATTAATTGTTGACTCAATATTCCCTTGTTCCTCGTCACCTACAAACAAAGGCATGCACCATTGTTTTCTCTTAGTAGCTTTATAGACAGCTGGGAACTTTAATTAATTAATTATTTGTATAATCTCCTAGATAGCTTGTCCCCCCTAATCAAAGGAGATCTCCAACCGCTAGCAAGCTAGAGCAGATTAATTTGGAGGCAAACACAGCCACACAGGTGTCAAGGATATATCGTTTGCTAGTTTAAGCGCCATTGTTGGATTTCATGCATGAAAAGAACTAATTAATCATGCTTAATTATGGAGTACCAAACTACAATTATTCAGGCTCAACTGGGCAGCTAGTTAACTCCAGATACCGCATCAACCAATCGGCAACCCTGAAAAATTCGTCACACCTGAATCTGAACAAATTCCTTGACTGATTGACTGACTAAATATCGATCCATGCATAGTGAGCTAAGCTAGCGTGCACCAACAACAGTACTAGCCAACACAGTGTAATGTAGCCACTCCAGCTTATTAACTGCAAGAATGAAGAATTAACGACTGATCAATTAATATATAAGACCCAACCGTTCGTCCAATAAAACAAGACATAAAAAGAGTGGGGGCAGCTAGGTTAGCTAGGATCCATCACATGAAAAGTAAGGAACTTTAATTAATTGCTGACACAATATTCCCTTAAGCTTGTCCCTCGTCACCTACAAACAAAGGCATGCAAGATTGCTTCCTCTTACTAGCTTTACAGACTAAGCTGGGAACTTTAATTAATTAATTATAATTAATGTATGTTCTCCTAGCATATTGCTAGCTTGCCCCCCTTAATCAGAGGAGATCTCCAACCAGTAGCAAGTTAGAGCAGATTAATCATCAGAGGCAAACACAGCCACACAGGTGTCAAGGATATATTGCTAGGTAGCTAGTAGGTCGTTGTTGGATTTCATGCATGGCAACAACAACTAATTAATCTTGGATGCTTAATTATGGAGTACCAAACTAGAATTATTCAGACTAAAGTTGGCAGCTGCTAGCTAACTCTAGATACCGCATCAACCAATCAGCAGGCCCTGAATCTTAACTTTTTGTAAGACCCATACTTATATCTTTTTCTTGTTAGATTATTATTAAGTCGCGCTGAAACAGAGTGAGTTTGGTTGGGCTTGGACTACTGGACCACATTATATGATATGCATGTATGTATGCATAATTGTATATATGGCAGTTGTCACGGTTAAGCGCACCAATCAAGGAAGCAATTGATCGACCCTCTAACTACCCCGTCTTCTAGAATAATCGTTGTCCAACAAAGGTTTGGGAGTGACTAGAGCTCAGTCGACACCTACTATTCGTCTTGTGATCAACACCGTGTCATACCAACAAACTAGTTCATCTTTAGATTGAATTTTTCTTGCAGTGATTGGCTGATTCTTAGCAGTGGCTTTCTCGACCGAGAAACATAATTGATCTTTTCTTGGCGGGTTTTTGCTAGACAGGTCTTTTTGTCAAGCCGTCGATCACTTTTGTAACTTGGCGGACATTTTTAGCGGCCGGGGGTATACATTCATTTTCGAAAACAAAGTGGTAGAAACAAAAAAGGGAATTAAGTCGCTCGTGATTTGCAAGCTAGGGCACACACACACACACACTGCACGCATAATTAGGGATCTCGATCGAGTTAAGGTGCAAGAATTACATCTATACACAGATAATCTACAAATTGATTTGTACTGGCAGTAGTACTAGTACTAATTAAGAAAGATGCAGCAGGATTAATTAATGCAGGATGGATGGACAGAAAATGTGCTTCTCGGCGGTCACTATATATGGACATTGGGATGCATGTTAAGTAGCGTGAGAGTAGAGCTAAAGTAGTCTCTCTTTCCACGCATGTCTTTTCCCCGATCGAGATCCAACTTTGAGATTAGCTAATACGAGCATCAGTAAACCCAGCCTAACTAATATTAACTGTCGTTGTCGGTGGTCATCTGTACTCCCTGTTAATTTAGCAATTCATCCATGCAGGCATCAACCTCCACATACTATATATATTGAGTTCGTTGAGTAAGTATGTTTATGTTGCTAATCTAACTGTTGTGGACTTGTGGATGAGCTAACTAGCTGCAGGTGTTAGTAACTAACAGTCAACAAAGGAATATCATATATAGAGTGCAAAAAGCTGATTGGTCATCCCATCCATGCATCCACGCGTGGCAAGCAAAAAGCTCGGTTGCGTACATGTGCATGCATGCTTTAAGTTGCCCATCTAGGAGTAGATACTCAATCCTACGGCATCTCTAGCCCATTTTTTGAGGAATTAAATTTTTATCCATCTAGGCATCTAGCCCATGCATGCTTAAAACTTTAATATTTCAAATAAAACTTTTGCGCACAAATTCATTTCAAACACAGGTTTAAATCATTTCATTGCATAAATAGATTAGAACAGCGGGATGCACTTACTAGCTAGTACTCCCTCTGTCCGAAAATAGTTGTCATCAAAATGGATAAAAGGGGATGTATCTAGAGACATATTTTAGTTCTAGATACATCTCTTTTTATCCATTTTGATGACAAGTGTTTTCGGAGGGAGTATGTGGTACTGTAGTACTAGTGAATAGATTTGTCCGGTTGTGTAGATAGAATAGTAGTTGGTGCCTGCTTAAGATCCATCATATCGATGAGAGGGTTTATTTGGTCAGTTGCCATGTTGAAGGAAAGGAAGGGTTGGAAATGGAGGGTTAATTAGTGGTTCTAGCTATCTCTAGAACTAGAATGTATGGATGGGATGGGATGATGAGTTGGTTTGGTATGACCGGCCGACTAGACACAGGACTATACGTGCATCAACAGTGCATACCATCTACTCCTACTCTACTCCAAGGCAAGGCAAGCTGATGTGGATGAATGTGACCTGACTTGACTATCAGCTGCATGCATGCATGCACGCTCGCTCGCTCGCTCGTGGACCGATCGGCTTTTAGTGATGAGTCACGATGAAGTGGATTATTGGTTGTTAACACTATTTGCTTGCTAGCTACTCCTACTTAAGGAGGAAGAAATGAAAAAGCAAAGCAGGATGAATGGACATGTATGCATGTATGACAAGGAAAGTCCCACCCAACACCAACACCAACACCACCCCATGTGCATCTGCTTCTCCATCTTTTCTTTTGGGCCTAGAGCTAGAGCGAGCGAGCAGATCCATCAATCACTAATCAACTTTTCCAACTAGTATCTTCTTTCTCCATACAAAGTTGCATGCATGGATCCGATGGAGCTACCATTGAATTTGAATACTCATACGCCGGCCGGTCGCTAAGCAAGCAATGCAACAAAGGGAGGGAGGAAATATATTTCTACCCGGCTGTCGGTTCAGTATAAGTAGTTTGCTCTGCATGACCGACCAATATATTTCCAACAAGTAGAACAGGACCATCTCTCTTCTTTTCAGCATACTAGTCCCAAGTTTCGCAATATATATAGCTAGATATGTCCACCATCTCGATATCTGAAGATGGATGTTGCATGCATGTGTAATTTTACTCCACCGGCCGGTCTCCTCTCCTCTACGCGTCGCATGGATCGGATGGACTAGCTAGCATGGACACTAATCTATTCTAGTACTCCCTCTGTTCACTTTTATAAGACCTTGAAGACATTTCAAACAATGTGCAAAACAACCTATTTTGAATTGTCTGAAACGACTTACAAAAGTGAATGGAGGGAGTAGATGAGACGAGTTGAAGGATCCATCTGCCTATACAAGCGTGCCAATCCGGGTCGTATCTCTTATCTCTCCATACATAGATACATAGATAGATATATGTAGTATATTATGAAGAGGTATCGAGAGATCTTATCTGTTGATGTGTTTAGGGGGTTGTACCGAAGCAGAAGTGATATAAGTATATGCTTGCTCTTGCTTCCACCACTTGCATAACTCTTTGGTCGTCTCTACTTTGTACTTGAGAAATAGAAGGAACATGTGCAAAATTTGGGAGCGTGCTGCACGAATATTTTACAAGAAATTTTACTACATTTGAAAGAAATTGTATTGAGAAGTACGTATACGTAGGTAAGTAGAGTATGTAGCTGAAAGAGAGATTGAGATGTAGACATGTGTAGGTCGCCCGCACAACAATGCAATGCAAAAGCAGCTGCTACGAATATACAAAACAAAACATATTCTTGGATGGATGATGCTAGAAAGACGACTAGTAGTTGCGTGCATGTGGGTGCTGCATACTAGCTATAGCTATAGTAGTACTACTAGTACCCGATATATATATTATCATGAGGATGGATGGATGGATGCATGGGAATCCTCCCTCACGTAATAATACAGTATATTTTTATTTTTATTATTCTATGCAGTTGGTACATGCATGCACATTCCTCTAATTATTCTCATCACCAAATACTAGTCCAGTCCTTGTTTGTTTGCTAGCTACTCCATCTCCATCTCCTGATTTCCATCTCCATGCACGCCGGCCGGCCGGAATAGTAGTTAGTACATGGATGGATCGATCGATGGATCATCGTCACCGCCCCGTCATTCATTTGGAATGTAGCCACCTACCAACCTTACCTTTGAATTTCTTTTCTTTGGGGCCGGGGATCCCTTCCATATGCTTCTTCTGCTTCTCACTGAGTCTGAGCTAGGGAAGGGCACTATAAGTTGGACCTCCTGCCGGCCTCCACACCCCAAGCCTTGCTCCTCATCTCATTCCCTCCCATTCTTCCATCTGCTCTGCTCTCCTCTGCTATCTACGTATCTAGCAACTCTATTCCATTTCCATTTCCATTTGCATCTTGCATTCACTACTACCTCAACACTGTTATCTGCTAGCAACTCAACTACATTCAGTCGCTCAACACTTACCACTCTACCCTAGCTAATATAAGCTAAGCTAGCTTCACCTCCAACACAAATCATCATCACCATGGGCGAGCAAGTAGCCACCAAGGTAACAAACTAAACAACCCATTAATCTTGAGTTCATGTCTTGGTATAATTATCACTTGCCCCCGGCCGGTGATCCATTTAATTAAGGTCCATCTTCTCCAAATTAACCCTATCCTGCAGGAGGAGGCCAACAACAAGGAAGAATCACCCGCACCCGCCGCCGCCGCACCTGAAGCTGCACCGGCAGAGGAGAAGAAGGACGAAGCAGCACCACCACCAGTCGACCAAGACCCAAACAAGGAGGAATCACCAGCCGAAGCTGCTCCTCCTCCACCGCCGGTGCCGGTGCCTGTGATCCTCGGCGTGGAGGTGCACTGCACGGGCTGCGCCAAGCGGATCAGGCGCTCCCTCCTCCGCTGCAAGGGCGTGGAGTCCGTCCACGTCGACATGCCCGCCAACCAGGTCACCATCAAGGGCGCCGTCGACCCGCAGGCGCTCTGCGACCGCCTCCGCGCCAAGACCAAGCGCGACGCCACCCTCATCTCGCCCTTACCGCCACCTCCGCCGGCCGAGGGCGAGGAGCCTGCGCCGCCCCCTCCCCCGCCGGCGCCGCTGGTCACCGAGGCCCGCACCGTGGAGCTGCTCGTCAACATGCACTGCGAGGCCTGCGCCCAGCAGCTGCAGACCAAGATGATGAGGATGAAGGGGGTGGTCAGCGCCCAGACGGACCTCGCCGCCGGCAGGCTCACGCTCAGTACCACCGTGGACGATGAGAAGATTGTGGAGTACATCCACCGACGGACTGGGAAGATCGCCTCCGTCGTGCCGCCGCCGCCTCCGGAGCCGCCCAAGGAGGAGGAGCCACCCGCTGCTGCTGCGGAGCCCAGCAAGGAGGAAGCACCAGCCGACGCCGACGGCAAGAAAGAAGAGGCCGGCGAGAACAAGCCGGCTGAAGACGGCAAAGCTGCTGCAGAGGCCGAGGAGGAGAAGAAGGAAGGTGGTGGTGGCGCCGGCGAAGATGACCAGAAGCCGGGGAAACAAGAAGGCGTGGCGGTGGACGGCTTCCCGCCGGAGGAGATGATGAAGCGGATGGTGTACTGGCCCTACGGCGGCGCACCCGGCGGCGGCATCCACTACAAGCTGCATCCGGCCGACGCCGAGGAGGCCATGATGGCCAGGCGGATGGCCATGCACGCCATGCCTCCACCTACTCTGATGCCGCCGCCGCCGCACCACCACCACCACAACCCCTACGCCATGATGCACCAGCAGTGGGCGCCTCCACCGCCGCCGCCACCTCCGGGGATGCCGATGTACAACAACTACAACTACGGCAGCAGCTACATGATGGAGCGGCCGCCGCAGATGTTCAGCGACGAGAACCCCAACGCCTGCGTCATCTCCTAGTCCTAGCTCGGATCGATGGATGGATCACCACATGGGCCATGGCATGGATATGAGCTGAGCATGTGAGCTTGGCCGGATTGGACCATCCTCCATATACATTTCTATACTCGGATTATATACTGCTGCGTAATTATAGGCAGTAGTTATTGTACTACTATTAGCTACGAAATTAAAGGACATTGGTCACGCTTGTAAGATCGATCGATGAGAGGATGTTAACTATAGTATATACACCAATCGAAAAATCAATGGATCGCCCTACTTTTAGTTGGCGAACAATTCCATGTAGATTTTCTTGGTTATGTCTCAGTCCATGCTATATTCGATTGATCTTTTACAGAGATTTGTGCAAAATTTTCTTTTACTTTTTCCTTTTCTTTTCTATACCTACTATCAAAGAGAGGTGATATTCTTGGTTTGGTCCCGCTTCAATTAATTTCACGTACGCTATTTGGTTTCGTTACTTGCCACCCGTTTTGGTCCAACGGAGGAAGCCCATCTGGCTGCGCTGTGGCCCAGGTCCAGAGAAAAATAAAATTGCCGATGAGAGGGTTCGATCTCATAACCTGCCAATCGGCCACGCACAGTTTGTCCAACTGACCCAGCTAGACATATGAGTGATTTTTTTTTCTTTCGTTGCAACACACGGGCCTTTTTGCTAGTTAGATACATGTCATTTGACTAAGACTTGGTTAAGTCACTGAGACATAGCCACACTGAAAGAGTATATGCACGTGCACCGGTTGCAACATATGATCCGATGGTGGAGAGTTGGCAAATCCTTACGATTCTAGCCATTCGACCTCATTCCTCTTAATTATAAGTCCTACCCCTCCCCCCTAATACCTCTCCTCTGCTCAACCCTGACCTTTAGCTTGGACCTCTCAAAAGTTGGCAACTATCGAGAAGATGCCAAATGGAAGATGGGAAGTCTAAGAATAACGACAAGCCCAGTGTTGCAATACGCGGACGATACCCTGATTCTACCATGAGAGGATGCTGCTCATGTGGCCAAACTAAAAGCGGTTCATGGCGAACACTGGCCTCACACTCAACTTTGACAAGTGCATGTTTGTTCCTCAACATCTAGCCAGAGGCGTCTATGTGGATCACTTGGTGGTGAGGCATGCTACTCTCATCGATTGGCAAGTGGGTTCTTGTCGACGTTGTTCTCATTGCCCTACCCACCTACGCCATGGGGTCGCTGTAGCTTGCCGAGAGCACCCCCACCGCCTTCCAGAAAAGGTGTCGTGCCTTCTTCTGAGAAAATGACCATGGCACCTGGTGCAAAATGCAAGATTGCGTGACAGAGGTCTGCAATCTCAGGACCACGGTGGCCTGGGCATGTGTGATTTGTGCCTGCAGAACGCATGCCTCCTCATGAAGCTCCCCGCCCGCATTCATGCCCCACCCTCCATGACATGGCATCTTTGTGACTCTGACCTCATGGACATCGCGACCTGTAAGGCACTTCTGGCACTTTTGGCATTTTGGCGTGATCTGTGGTGGGGCGAGAACAATTTGGACGCATGGTTCTTGACTCTATTCTCACACTGGGCCCGCCGCAATGCATGTGTTGTGTGACAATACTGAAAACCGTCAAGAGTCTCGATAGTATGGTGGGCGTGATCGAAAGCACCAGAAAGAATCACACATGGCCCGTTTATCTAGGTTCGGGCCCTCATCGTGGAGGTAGTACCCTACTCTTGCTTGGATTTGGTTGATGTATAGGTTGCTTCGTATGAGGGTGTTACAATGGAGTTGATGTGTATGCTTTGGAAGCTAGGGTTGAGATTGTAAGTTTCCTTGAGCTATACCCTACCTTGCCTTATAAAGTGGAACGAGGCCTAGGGTTGCACGACTTGCTAATTCCTAATTGGTCATACCAAACCAACTTATCATCCCATCCATTCTAGTTCTAGACAACGTACGTACTATTAAGCAACCTATTACTCACTTTGAACTAAAACCACGTCAGTTATTTTGGGATGAAGGGAGCAGACAACTACAGAAGGAACGGAGAAATTTATTCACCTTAAGTAGTGTTACATCATGCATGTCACCATATACCTACACATACATAGGAGTATGTAAGTAGAGTAGATGGGCAAAGCATGCCTGCATCCGCGTGGGACGGGGGAGGGAGGCACATGTAGAGACACCGTCAGCCGCGGGTGGTGGCATGAAGCAGCCCAACCGGCGGTCCGTGGATGGGTTGTCTAGAGGAAGATCGAGGGGAGAGGAAGAACAAGAACAATGTCGGTCTTCAGATTGAAATCCAAAAAAGGGTGGGAAAATGTACTGACCCTAGGAAAAAAATTCGAATCTTGGGAAAGTGTAGGAAACCATTTCTTGCTTAATTCAGCTCCAAGTAATTCCATGGACGGGAACGTCTCCTCCCACTGAATGCACATCGCCGGAAATCCTAAAAATAAATTCAGAAATAAATGCGAGCACCAGGTTTTAAACCCTGGTGGGCTAGGGATACCACAGTCTCTCTAACCATCCAACCACAGGTTGGTTTGCAATTACGTAAGTAGTTAGCTTAATCTCTCATCTTAACATGGCATGCACCTACTGAAACTCTATGTAATCTACAGACTACATACAGATAAAAGTATGCATGCACATGTACGCAACCAGCTTTTTGCCATGCAATGGAGCGGATCGGATCGGATCCGATCGGACCAGATGACGATCAAGCTTCATTTAATTAGCACTGCACCGCCTAGCTTTGTTAACTGTTGTGGCCTGCGCGCGGCTAAACCTTTCGCCCGCTGATCCACAAATCCACAACAGATTACCTCCGTATTTCTTTCTTTACGGAGGGAGGACTAAACTTAATTATGCATGGAATGAATTAGTACTAACCACTGCAGATAACTCAAAGTTGCATCTATCCATTTTGGGAAAGATTACTTTAATGAACATCCCAATGTCCACTGAGAAGCAACATATACTACTACTACTATAATTTTCTCTCATCTCTTCACTAGTAATATACAGTACTCCCTCGGTAAAGAACTGATCCAAACGCTCTTATATTTCTTTACAGAGGGAGTATCTTTATTAAAAAAATTTGCGAGAAAATTTCTGATCTATTCATCTTCAATCATGGCAGTACAACGAATATCAGCAATAATAAAAATTACATCCAGATCCATAGACCACCTAGCGACGACTACCAGCACTCAAGCGAGCCGAAGGCGCGCCGCCGTCATCGCTCCTCCATCGCAGGAGTCGAGCACAACTTGTTGTAGTAGACAGTAGGGAAGTCGTCGTGCTAAGGCCCCGTAGGACCAGCGCACCAGAACAGCAACCGCCGCAGATGAAGAATAACGTAGATCAGAAAGATCTAATCCGAAGACACGCGAACGTAGACGAACAATGATGAGATCCGAGCAAATCCACCAAAGATAGATCCGCCGGAGACACACCTCCACACGCCCACCAACGGTGCTAGACGCGCCGCCGGAACGGGGACTAGGCGGGGAGACCTTTATTCTATCTTCAGGGAGCCGCCGCCGTCTCGTCTTCCTGAGCAGGACACAAACCCTAGCAAAACTGAAAGAAACGAGTAAAAACGGAGCCCTCCCGCCGGCCCTTGCTGAGATCCACCGCGCCCCCATGGCCCTAGGGCCACCGGAGAGGAGGCGGACCTACGACGGTGGCGACGGGAGGCAGAAACCCTAACTTTTTTGCGGAGGAAGGAGGAGAAAATAGTTAACTGAGTATCTTTATTAATTAGTAGTACTTGTAGCACTAGTACGATCTTTATAGGAGTACTCGATTGATTACCGGCCGGCAAATGAGTCATCATGTATGTATATCTTCGAGATCTCTAAGTACGCGCGCATAATTAACTTGCAGGTCACGTCTGGTGCCTACTCTTTTATTATTATTATAAAATAGTAGTACTTGGGTCATCAACGGATGTCATGAGTTGACTGTCTCCGCAATAAATTACATCCCCCTGAAAATATTTACTCTCCTCTGAGAAATGACAAGTTTCGAGGCACCGCTAAGATGCATCCAATCTCTATACCAGAAAATCGCATACGTACGCATCTATCTGGCGAATAGTCCACTAGTCGTTAGTTGATTGCTTGCATGGTGCTTAATTAA